CTTTACCATTACACAGTGAACTTGGTTATGGTCATTACCATGGGTTGAATTTATCTACATCATGTGCACCTACTTCTTTTGCCAAATCAATTAGCCTAATGAAAGAAGTTCTTAGAGATAAGGTTTTTGACTCTCATGTGCGAAGCACAAAATGGGAGTCTTTGCGGCTAGTGTGTCTGTATGTATGTATGTGTGTGTGTGTGTATGTATGTGTGTCCGTCTGTTCCACTGATATCTCAAGAACCATACATCAGTTTTTGATGAAACTTGGTGCATAGATGCTCTGGGCTAATGCGCAGATTTGATTAGGTTTTGGTAAAATTTCATGCATATTAATTACCTAATTTGCATGATAATAAGCTATTTTTTAGCTGTTCCATTGATATCTAAAGAACCACTTATTGGATTTTGATGAAACTTGGTACATGGATGCTCTGAACTAATGCTTGGTTTTGATAAGTTTTTGGTAAAAATTACCTAATTACTAATTACCTAATTTGCATAATGATTAGTCAATTTTTGGTTTTTCCATTGATATCTCAAGTACTAATCATCACATTTCAATGAAACTTGGTACATAGATGTCATAGGACACTGCACAGACCTGATAGTTTTTAAGGTAATGTCAGTGCATATTAATTACCTAATTTGCATAATTAATTAATTTTCAGCTTTTGATGTTTCAAGTAGTAAGCATTACATTTCAATGAAACTTGGTACATAGATCCTCAAGGACTATGCAGAGATTGATTGTTTTGGGATAAATATTTGTGCGTATTAATTACCTAATTTGCATAATTAGTTAATTTTCAGCTTTTCCACAGATATCTCAAGTACTAATTATCACATTGCAATGAAACTTGGTACATAGATCCTTTAGGACTATCAAGAGACTTGATTAGTTTTAGGGTAAATAATTGTGTATATTAATTACCTAATTTGCATAATTAATTAATTTTCAGCTTTCATACTGATTTCTCAAGTACTAATCTTCACATTTCAATGAGACTTTGTACATGGATGCTGTAGGACAATAGACAATTGTGGGTTAAAATCTGTACATATTAATAACTAATTTACATAATTAACCACTTTTAAGCTATCACACTGATATCTAAAGTACTAATTATTCCATTTCAATGAAACTCAGTGCAAAGATGCTCTAGGACAAACCTGATTAGTTTGGGGTTAAAATCTGTTTATATTAATTCCCTAATTAGCATAATAATTTATAATTTTCTTTGGTTCCAATCACATTTCAATAAAACTTGGTACATAGATGGTCTGTTACATTGCACAGACCTCATTAGTTTTCCATTAAAATCTGTTCATATTAATTTTCTGATTTGCATTATTAGTTTTCGGCTTTTCCATCACTATCACTATCTATGACAAGTAATTTTGAATTATATTTAATGTGTCTCCAATACTCTCAGCACATGGGAGTTCTTTCTAAGCTTTCTTTGATTATGCTCTCACCTGGAATATTGTGTTTCTATTCCGAATTTCAGATTATGTACATGTCTGTTTGAAGCATATTCTATCTTTGTATGGGCAATCTAAAAACCCTCCACAATCAGTGGTGATAGTAGGACACTCAGTGGTAAGTTATACTTTCTTTAGTTCATATTTAGCTTACTGTCAAATACCATTTTCTCATTTGTTTGAACATTATTTGTACTCATTCCAATGTTCAAAATTTCTTTTATTTGAAACACATACCACCAAAATGTCACATTGGGTTGTATATTGTCACATTGGGTTGTATATTGTCACATTGGGTTGTATATTGTCACATTGGGTTGTATATTGTCACATTGGGTTGTATATTGTCACATTAGGTTATATGTCACATTGGCTAATATAATGTCATATTGTGTTGTATAATGTCACATTAGGATATATAATGTCACATTGGCTAGTATAATGTTATATTGTGTTGTATAATGTCACATTAGGATATATAATGTCACATTGGCTAATATAATGTCACATTGGCTAGTATAATGTTATATTGGCTAATATAATGTTATATTGTGTTGTATAATGTCACATTAGGATATATAATGTCACATTGGTTAATATAATGTCACATTGGCTAGTATAATGTCACATTGGCTAATATAATGTTATATTGTGTTGTGTTGTATAATGTCACATTAGGTTATATGTCACATTGGCTAGTATAATGTTATATTGTGTTGTATAATGTCACATTAGGATATATAATGTCACATTGGCTAGTATAATGTTATATTGGCTAATATAATGTTATATTGTGTTGTATAATGTCACATTAGGATATATAATGTCACATTGGTTAATATAATGTCACATTGGCTAATATAATGTCACATTGGCTAGTATAATGTCACATTGGCTAATATAATGTTGTATTGTGTTGTATAATGTCACATTAGGATATATAATGTCACATTGGTTAATATAATGTCACATTGGCTAGTATAATGTTATATTGGGTTGTATAATGTCACATTGGCTTGTATAATTCACATTGGCTAATATAATGTCACATAATTGTTATTTAATGTATTCTGATATTGTTTGAAATTGGGGGTCCAATTTATTCCATGTATTCATTTCACATATTTTTAACACAAATACTAACATTAGAATTGTAATTCGTTGTTGGTTCCATCTTATTTGTGTTTGTTGCACTTCACATATCTGAATAATCATATTTACACAGGGTGGTATATTAGCTCGTGCCTTGTTCACACTACCAGACTTTGATCCAAGCTTAGTCCATACTATTATAACCCAGGCTTCACCTCATAGAGCACCTGTTGTGGAAGTGGACAGACCAATGACAGACTTCTATCATAAAGTTAACCAGGTAATATATGGGTTGTATCTTGTTCACTCTACCAGACCCTCTAGCCTAATGTTCTTTTTTCAACTAAAATGATTTAATCAAATGCTGCAATGTGTTTGCAAAATGTTGCAATGCGTTTGCAAAATGGCAGTCATTTCAAGTAAGGACTGCAAGGCCAGAGAGACTGTCGCCATACGCCGCTACTCCATCATTCACCACTGTGGGGAAATTTCACGGTAGTATATCTAGGTGATTGAGAGGATTAGAATGACGTCATAAAATTTCTAACTAATTGCAAGTCACAGGGGGAAATCCAATATTTACTTTCGTCAGTTTTGTAGAGTGAAATGTTCAGAGAATCTTTGACCAGAACTTTGTCGTACATCCCCCAGAGTGGACTGACATTGACTTGCACTGCCTTTGAGGTAAGAAATGGAACTTGACCAATTTGTTGGAGATGGATTATTAGACAGTGAACAGGAAACATCGACACAAATGATTGAATAAACAGACACATGCCGGTCACTGGTAGCATAGTGGTTGTCGCATCAGACTCATGATCGGTAGACCCGAGTTCAAATCCTACCTTAGGCTGAACATCAAAGGGTCGACCCCTACCCTGGGTGAGTGTGCCACAGACTCAATGGGAAGGCCAATTCCACTGGCCGAGATTCATTCACTAACGAATGCGACTTTGGGGGAACCTTGGTTAAGGTCCGCAAGTGCTTGTGTTCGACCGGGCCTGGTTGACGCCAGGATAGCGCATTAAAATTGCCATTTGACAGAGAGATGGCCACACAGCCCTGTCATGTAGTTCCAAACAGGAAATGACTTCTGTGGCAAAATGCACTATGTGTCAGCACTAGCACTTGCAGACACATGCATGACAGTTAAAATCCCACGATTTGACCTTTTCGTGCAAATGAGCTCCACCTATATGCAAATGAGCTCCACCTATATGCAAATGAGCTCCACCTATATGCAAATGAGCTCCACCTATATGCAAATGTAACTACGTAATCAAGATGAATGCATAATTAATAGCAAGGCTGTGCCTTCAGCCTATAATAGTCCTTTGGGTCTCAGGACCTTCGTTTCATATAGTTATATTAAAAAGTAACATTTAAGCAGATTATTGTTGTGACCTCTTGTATTGATTGCTGTAAATTGTCAGATTATTGTAGTGTTAATGCTATCCATTACATATAGGTTAGATCACGGTCCGAGGTGACTATCAGAATTTGAACGAGGGCCGTAGGCATCAAGGAGCGCAATCTAACTGACTTAGCACTGGCCAATCAGCCCAGGAAAAGATTTCTATTAGCCAATCAAATGACGACATTTTGACAGCAATCAAACTTGTGAAACAACATTTTAGTACATTATGTTACATTTTGTCAAAATGTTGCAACGATGGCCTACGTGCTGCCAGTAGTGTCAGTTGAATCGAGCATAACTCAATGGATACTTTGTATCTAATCTTGATGTTATAAATAAATTGTTGCAATGAAAATCCAGGATCTAAGTAAATTCGTGGTGAAATAGAACCTCACTTTATCACGACTCTGATTGGTCGAGGGCTGTTGGCCATATGCTAATGCTATTAAAAAATCATTTCCATCAAATTTTATTCATATTTCACTTGATAATATATTGGCCATTTAAAGTTGCTCTGTCTGCCTGTTTTGTGCAAAGACAATTTTATTAGAAAACAAAAATAAGCTTCCAGTAATGAGATCTGGTATAATGCATCATGGGTAATACTAAATATGCTAATTGACTAATTGTGTTTGTGTATACAGATGTGGAAGAAGAATCAGAACAGTTCTGTATTACAAAAAGTGACTGTGCTATCAGTGGGTGGTGGTGGAAGGGACCATGTGGTACGTGCCGGGCTGACGTTAACGAAAGATATCATAGCTGACGATAGACGAGTCGATGCTGTGGTAAGAATTATGAACTATCTATCTGGAATCATATCTCAAGATTTACTGTTGGATTATAGTATAGTATATTTTATTTGACACAAAAAAATGCATGGAAAATACATAATCTATGGCCAATATACATTACTTTATAAACACACAAACAAATAACAAATAAACAACCACTGTAAAAATATAAAATAAATGTTAGAAAAAATGTTAAATATTAAAAGTTTAATTTTTGTTTTCTGTTATGATATCATTGATGAATTTTCCTAGGCTGTTGGTAATGAAACCATCATTTGAACTTAAAATTTGTTTGAACATGTTTTGTTCTGATATTGTTAGTAGACTATCATTATACAATGACAAAGTATTAATAAATTGTGTACGACTAGTTATTAACCTTTGGTTCTTACAAACCAATAATGCATGTATTTCATCACCAATAGCTTTGTCTTCACACAAATTACAAATTCTTTCCTCTGAAGGCATGCGTTTGTATCTTAACCTTTCAATTGGCAGTGTATGAGCAGAGATTCAAAATTTGGATATACTTGTTCTATGAAAATACGATGACACATCATACACTAATTAATAATTAATCCTTGTATATTTTAAAGCATGCACTTTATGTGAATGTGAAACTAATTAATTTATTGACATCTTTTTTTTTTTTAAATCTGTTTTGTTCTCTTTGATAGAGTACCGCAATTCCCAATGTATGGGCCTCCGCTGATCATCTATGTATTGTATGGTAAGTTAACACATTTAATGTGATACATGCACTTGCATAACCAGTCAATGAAAGTCATCCTCTCGTATGTGAAACTTTGAGTTTTAAGTTGTGTTAACCATTTGAATCAAAGTCATAAAAATGGGCACAATGGGAGACAACTTCAAATTTAGCACTACTGAGCATGTTACTGCACATATGTGCAATGCATTATGGGAGACAACTTCAAATTTAGCACTACTGAGCATGTTACTGCATATATGTGCAATGCATTATGGGAGACAACTTCAAATTTAGCACTACTGAGCATGTTACTGCACATATGTGCAATGCATTATGGGAGACAACTTCAAATTTAGCACTACTGAGCATGTTACTGCACATATGTGCAATACATTCTGGAAGAGAACTTCCCATTGTATATAAATGAAAAATATATTACTGTAAAATATTTTATATATCGCTTGGAATTAATTTTTCGCTGAAGGAATGATTCAGTGGAAATAAAATCATGCAAATATACCTTTTTTCTATATTTTACATTCAACTCGTCAGAAATCAGTGAAAATAAATTTCATACAAAACACATAAAAAGTCTTTTCGGCGAAAATTAATTCCAACTAAAATAAAGTATTTTACAGTATCGCGCTAGATTTGTACTAAATTAAAAGTCAAGTTTTAGAATTGTTTTGACAACATGGGGATTCATATCAATGATGATATGCGACTATTTCGTCCATGTTACCGTGCAAAATTTAAAATTTGAAACTCACAAAAATTATCCCATGCATTTTTTAATGATAATAGTTTTGATTATTATTCTGCCAGTCTGTATAAAGGTCTCTTTCACCCATGCATGTGATATTTATGCTACAGGTGCAGACAGTTGGTATTGGCAACAAAAAGAGCCATGTTTGACATGATTGACCCAACCACAAAGCAGGTCAGTCTTTAACAATGACATGTTTGTGTTAGTCATGCGTTTATATGAATGATGATCCCTCTCCAAAGCCATCAGCTGATGTCTGAACTAGTGTGCTTACTCTTTAATACCCTACTTTCCAGTAATTAGTTGTGTGTCAAAAACTTGCAAAATATACAATAATGGAAATTCCTATCAGAACAGATGAATATAATTGTATCTCGATATTTGTAAATCAAATTTACTAGTCTCACAAAAACGTTTTTTGTTATTGACCTCACCAATGAAATATCTAATAATGATGTGAAACCTGTATTTAGATGCCACCACACAATCAACAATGATTTTATTTCTACCTCTATAATTAATTCATATACATTCTACTTTGTTTGTTAAAACATGCCTAAACTTTGATGGTTATGTTTTTGTCAGTGTTTTATTTGAGTAACAATTTCTTCTATTTGTTTACTTTAACCATGTAGATAAGTACCGATGCAGAATTCAAAATGGAAATCTTTAGACATCATTTTGACAGAAACAGTGGAAGAAATAAACCCTCTGTCAAAACACAGTCTCCACCAAAGTATACAGGTAATGAAATAAACCCTTTGTCAAAACACAATTTCTACCAAAGTTCCCAGGTAATAAAATAAACCCTTTGTCAAAACACAATTTCCACCAAAGTACCCAGGTAATGAAATAAACCCTTTGTCAAAACACAATTTCTACCAAAGTTCCCAGGTAATAAAATAAACCCTTTGTCAAAACACAATTTCTACCAAAGTTCCCAGGTAATAAAATAAACCCTTTGTCAAAACACAATTTCCACCAAAGTTCCCAGGTAATAAAATAAACCCTTTGTCAAAACAAATTTCTACCAAAGTTCCCAGGTAATAAAATAAACCCTTTGTCAAAACACAATTTCCACCAAAGTTCCCAGGTAATAAAATAAACCCTTTGTCAAAACACATTTTCCACGAAAGTACCTAGGTAATAAAATAAACCCTTTGTCAAAACACAATTTTCACCAAAGTACCCAGGTAATGAAATAAACCCTTTGTCAAAACACATTTTCCACCAAAGTATACAGGTAATGAAATAAACCCTTTGTCAAAACACAATTTCTACCAACGTTCCCAGGTAATAAAATAAACCCTTTGTCAAAACACATTTTCCTCGAAAGTACCCAGGTAATGTAATAAACCCTTTGTCAAAACACAATTTCTACCAAAGTTCCCAGGTAATAAAATAAACCCTTTGTCAAAACACAATTTCTACCAACGTTCCCAGGTAATAAAATAAACCCTTTGTCAAAACACAATTTCTACCAAAGTTTCCAGGTAATAAAATAAACCCTTTTTCAAAACACAATTTCCACCAAAGTTCCCAGGTAATAAAATTAACCCTTTGTCAAAACACAGTCTCCACCAAAGTACTCAGGTAATGAAATAAACCCTTTGTCAAAACACAATTTCCACCAAAGTTCCCAGGTAATGAAATAAACTCTATGTCAAAACAAAGTCTCCACCAAAGTACCCAGGTAATGAAATAAACCCTCTGTAATGAAATATTGAGATCATAAAAAGTTCAAAAATCTAGGATTTGAAACTTTTTGATTTTTAAAGTAGACAAAAATTGTGATGACTTTTGAGGCATTATTTATCTCTTGTTAAACATCTTTAATAATTAATTAAATAATAGATATTTCACTGAACTTTGAGTTTGGGAAAAAACATTCACACTATCCTATGACTAAAAGTGAAAATTGTACAATGGCATTTCTTCAAATAGTGATGATGATGAACACTATATATCAAATTAGTTTTGGACTATAAGGCCACACTGATTTAATTTTATGGATGACATCCTCTGGAGACCCCAAAACTAATGCGAGAGGGCGAAAAAAAAAAAATCCTGCTAAAAGCACAGGACTACGGAGCTGCTATTACGAATTGGACCACAGAACACAATGTATCAAAGAACAACAAGAAGTCTTTATTTGTAGGAGGCACATGTTGATATACACATCTCGTACTGTATTACTGTCACAGGTATAACCATTTCAGACAAGCTCTAGTACATGTAGTCATGATGAAGTACAGTAAGAACGTCGATTATCCGAAC